TTCTAAAATAGTTTCATTATTAATATTATTTGTTGAACAATTAACTAAATAGGATGAAAAAAAAGTTTTTTATTAAATATGTTTTTTTTAGTTATTTTAAATGTTTGAATTGAGATTTTTTTTATTAAGATTTTATTGAGATTTTATTTAGTTAAAAATATTTAATTGAAAAAATTTTCTAAAATCAGATTTTTTACATTATTTTTTAGAATATAAAGAATTTTTTTCAGAAAAAGAAGAAGAAAGAGATGAATTTTAAGAATTTGATGAAAAAGAAGATTTTGCGTGAATATTAGTAACTGAATTACATGGAGAATTTAATTTAGATGTGTTTTTTGTAATAATCTTTGTTCTGCTTTGTGATTATTAGTTTTCTTATTTAAAATAATATTTATTAGGTATTTATACAAAAACAGATCCTTTTAATAATATACAATAAGTAGAAGCTTAATCACCTATATATATATAAATATATAAATATATAAATATATAAATATAAATATATAAATATATATATATATAATGTACCATATTCTATTATTTTTTAATATTAAATATATTCAGTAATTTTTAATTCTTAAAATAATAAATTATATTATATCTAAGGCAGATATTATCTTGCCTCTTCAAAAAATTTTAAATCCTTTAATGTATTTTATAAAATTTATAATTCTTTTTTTTGTTTGTTATTATTCTAAAGTATTTAAATTATGATCTATTTTTTGAAACACATATATATTATATTTATTAATATATATATTTTTTTTATTTACTTGATAATCGAAATCATTTTTTAAGTCTAATTTTATTTATAATATATCATCTTCATATTTATGTAAATTATGTTCTATATTTTTATCAAAAATTTAAGAATTTTATTTATTTATTTGTATTTAGAATTTTTTTTTTTTTTAAATAGGTTCTTTTTACATGTTTTTTAATTTTTTTAATTAAAAATATAAAATTATTTAAAACATAGTACTGTATATTTTCAAAGTATTTTTGTTTTAAAGTATTTAAAAAATAAAAAATTAAATATAAAAATTATTTTTAATAAAAATTCATTAATAATATAAATTTAAATATTTTTTTTTTTAAAAAAAAAAAATTTAAAAAAATATTCATATTTAGCTTTTATTATGATTTAATATATTACTAAATTATAACCCTATTTTTCCTTAGTATTGTTAAGTATTATTTAACTATTTTTATATCATTTTAATTATATTAGTATTAATATTTAATTTGGATTATTTTTTAAAAACTTTTTTTTATTATTATAAAATTTTATTTTATTTAGCTTTTCCGTCTATACTAAAGCTTTTCACCTCATCTTCAAATGCATTTTTATTCAAAGAATATGTTTTTTAAGTATTTTATTAAATTTTATTTTTCAAATAAATTTATATTTATTTTTTTACTTATAGATTATTTTTACTATTTAATTTTAATGGTTATTATTATTTGTAATATTCCCTAGAACTTAATTAAAAATCTTTTCTATAAACATCAATATTTCTATGCGATTCATTTTATTTTAAACATTTTTCTAATTCTTCCACTCTCTATTAAGTATTTTCTACACATAATTTTAATTATTATTCTAACTTTTTTATTTTTTATTTTTTAAAAATAATGACATAAATTTTTACATATTTTATATATTTTATCTTTTTGTACTCTTATATGTTGTCTTATTTCAGCTTCAAGTTTTTATAACTGGAATTCATACTCTTTACAGCATCTACAAGATATTTCTTATGAAGATTAATTAATATTTGTTGACATAGAAGAGTTTTAGATTTTCTAGCTAAATTTATTTTATTACATATCTTAATTTAATTAAAGCATTTCGTCAAACATTTTTTCAATGTAATTTTAAACTTAATTTTATTCATATTTTAATAAAACTTCTTATTTTTAATCAATTGGTATAATTTTTTAAAAAAACTAATATTATTCCTATTTATTTTTTAAAATATATATAATTATAAAATATACTTTATTTAGTTTTTTAATTAATTGTATAAATAATTTATTAATTAAAATATTTTGCTTTTGTTTATTTATTTAAGTTTAAATCTCATTTTATGCTGATTATAAATTTTTAATATTAATATATTTGCTATTTTAGTTATGTAAAATTATAGATGGTTTAGCTTATAAGAAATAATTATTAAAATTTAAAATATTGTTTTGTTATTTTATTGTTTATATATTAATTTTCTCCTCCATTTTTAATTTTTAAAAAAAATATTAATTGTAAATTTTGATTTTTAAAATTAAAATTTTTAAAAAACTAAAAAATAAAATATTAATGATTAATATTAATATTATAAATCTATTTTATATTTAAATCATTAAATAACTGTTTATATAAATAAATATATAAATAAATAAATATATATATATATAAATATATATTTATTATTTTAAATATAAATTTAATTTTTATTATTTAAATATTTATATAAGCAAATTTTTATTATTTATATAATTTTTTTATATTTTTAAAATATATTATTAATAAATATTCTATTAAAACCAAAATTAATATATAATTTTTTTATTAAATTAAAATATATAAACTTATTTTTGAAGCTTAAAAATATCTTATTTTTAATTTTTATCCAATTCAATTAATCATTTGAATGTAATTGTCATTAAATTTCATATTATTTAATTTATGTTTTATTTAATTATACTTCTATTTAAATTATATACATTCTTTTACAATAACATTATGGTCTAAATGTTTATTTAATTAAAAGTCATTTTAAGGGTGAAATAATTTTCCTTTATTTTATGAAATGTCTTTATTAACTTTTCCTAAAAAAAATATATTTACAAAAAAAAAAAAAAAATTTCATAAAAATAAAAACATATTTTATACTATATATATATAAATAAAAATATATATGTATATGTATATATTATATATATATATATATATTATTTATATTATACTAATAATTTCTTTTTCAAGTTTATTTACTATTCTTTCTAAAGTGTTTTCAAATTAATTATTATATTTTTAATTTTTTTACTATGTAAAATATATTTAATTGTTTTCATTTTAAAATGAATTACTTTATTATTATTTTTTTTATTTATCATTTTAATAATTACTATAAGTACTTAGTTATAATATTTTTTTACTTGGATACTTTTTTTCAATTTATGAATAATTAATATTATAAGTATATAAATTTGGATTCTAATAATTATGTAAATTTTTTAATAGAATTTTCTTTTCCTTTTATTTTTTTTCTTTAACAAGTATTTATTTAGCCATACTTATATATTATTTTTAAATTTTATATTTGTTAACATTCTCATAAAAATTTTACTTTTTGTACTAGCTTAACCCTTTTTTTTTAGGCACATTTATTTAATATAAAGTATATAAATCCTTATTATTTATCTATTCTTTAATAATATTACTATTAATATTTCTTTCCGAATTAAATAAATTCTATAATGAAAAATCTGATTATTTCTCCATATTTTTAGGTGTAAAATAAATCAAATTTTCATTTAGCTCACTTAAACTCGTAAATTTATTTTAAAATTTTATTTCATTCAAGTTTTCAATTTTTTTTTAATTCTTAAACTTTTAAATCCAGAAGGCAATATACTATATTAGTTTCTAATTTATTTATATGGTAATTTAAATTTACCTCCTTTTTCAAAAAAATAGTTCCCGTTTTTTTCCACAAACTTGCACCTATTTGAAGATGGAACGGCAATGTTTATTTTTATATCTATAAGTTTTTTTGGAGTTTGTAAATTACTTTATTAATAACTATTATTTTACTTATCACTTTTTTATATTTTATATTTTTCTTAACTTTTATTTGTAATTAAAACTCCTAATTAACTCCTTTCTTTTTAAAAAGGAGAGAATGTATTAATATTTTTATTTGGCGATTTTTTTTATTCATTTTAAAAAGGTTTAGAAGATTCTTAATTTATATTGAATATTTTGTAAGATTAAAAAGGTTTATAGTCTAATCCGTTTCTTAAAAATTTTAATATATTTTTCTTTGTTTAAATGCTTCTGGGTTAGTTTAGTAACATATTTAAGTAGTATATATATAAGGTTTAATGTTATTTTAATTATGATATTCGTAGATAATTATTTTATTTTATGCGAATAAATAATAATTTTATAAAATAATTTATTTTTTATTATTTTAATTTTATTCTTTTAATATAATTATTATTTATTAAATTAATTTTTTTTTTATATTTTAATAAAATTTTAAAAATTATTTAATATTTTATTTTTTTTAATAAATAAATAAAAACTTTATTTATACTAAATTACTTATTTATAAATAAATATTTATTATATAAAAGGTTCATTTTTAGAAATTTCATAATTAATAGTGAAAAAAATTATTTATATAAATATTTTAATAAAAATAAAAAATTTAGATATATAATAAGAATATATTTTAAATTTTAAATAAAATAAATTAAAATTATAAAAATTATTAAAAATATTAAATTTTTATAAAAATAATTGAATTAGTTATTATATTTTATTTTTCCATAATATAGTAATAATAAATATATATATATAATATAATAAAAAGAATATATATAATATAATATATGTTTTTAAAATAATTATATTAAAATAAATAAATAACTAAATATATTTAATCAATTAATCCAATAAAATTATAAATAATATAAATAAAATCATTATTCAAATTATGAAAAACTTTAAAGGTATGTTCAAAAAAGAAATTTTACATGAAAAACCTGAATACATCGAAATGAACATATTAGCAATCGAAATATATGAAACCCAGGAATACTTTTTCATAAAACCAAACACATCCATAACTAATATATAATCAAATTTACAAATAATAAAATAATCAGGGAAAATTCAATAATAAAATAATAATCAACTAATTAACTAAAATTTAAACTAAACATAATTATAAGCATATAGTGCATTTTTAGGAATAATAAATATATATGGCATGAATTATTTAGTTTTAGTAAAGGAAGTAAAAGTAATTCCAATATTAAATGAAAAGACTACAATATTTGAAATTTCCTAATGTGAATTTCGTCCTTTTTACATTCATAATACTCCTAATATATTAAAATTCTAATCTTTAATAGAAAACACTTTATCTTCTGGTGGATTTTTTTTCTCATATAAATATCCTCTTTCTCTTTCATTATAAAAATAAAACGAAAATATACAATATGACCCTGATTTTTTATGGAACCTAAATTTCCTTAAGCCCCTAATGCAATAAAAAATTGCCTAAGAATGGTGGATATAATTAATATAAGGATTCGTTTATAACTCAAAAGACTTTCCTATGTACTATACTCTCATATCTAGACGATAAATAAGACGAGCGGGTACTTTAAATGCTCATAGAGGGGCTAATTCAGATGGATTTGTAGCTAATTTCGTAGAAACGGAGCTTATTATTTCCTTTGGAAGTCTAACTGCTTCACATTTATAAATAAGGGGTAGTGTACCTGTATTATGGTCGAGAAAAGGAGTATCTTCAACAATAAATAAAAGTCAATAAATGTCAACTAAAAGCTTTTTGTTACATTTTGAATACTTAAAAAAAAATTACGGATAAATAACATGCGTTAATTTAATGACAAATTAATAATAAAATGAAAATGTAAAGAAAAATATATATAAATATATATATATATATATATATATATATATATATTTAATTTTATATATAAAGACACTTTCTTAAGAGTATTTGTAGTAAATAAATTAAAATTAAACTGGAAACATAGAATATTTGAATTTCGATTTTAAGCAAGAAACCAGAAATGAAAAATAAGATAATATAGATTAATTTATTAAAAAAAACCTCATCTAGATTATTGGAAAACATAAATTTTTTATAAAAAACGATTAAAAAATCATATAAAAATAACAAGGAATCATTCGCTCAAATTGCTTCGATTGTCTTGAAAGAACAAACTTTTTTTAATAAAAAATATCTTTTTTTTGCCTCAACTAGTTCATATTTCCTTACTTAAATATTAATATATAGCAAAAAGATCTTTTTTATAAATAATTCGAGTTCTCCTGGCTGGAAAACAACGAAGAAATATCTAACCATTATGCAGGTATATCTAAATAATAAACAAATAAATGTCAAAAAGTTGGAAAATAGACATTTATGAATTAACTAAAAGGCTATTTTGAATCTGCGAAGCGTTTTTTGAACACCTCATAAAAAGACGCATATAGACAGTAAATATATTGCATAATACTAGGTGAAGATTACGATAGTTAAGACAATTTGCAATACTAAGTCGAATTATTACAATTAATAAAAAAACGAGAAATAGAATACACTAAAAGCCACGACATAAAATTATTTTTATGCACTTGGAATGTAAATTCATTTGAACCATCAGATTTTAAGCATAATCTATTAAAGATTTTCAACAAAAACAAATAAGAAGCTGAAATTATAATTATTTGTCTTTAAGAACTCGTAGAATTAAACTCTAAAAATATTATGACTTCTACAAACGAAAAATAATTAGCTATTGAAAAATGGATAAGTTCTATTCAATATAATTTAGGTGATACTTTGTATTTCTTAGTAGGTTAATATAATATGGTAGGAATAGAGACTATAATATTCGCCCATATTAAAATAAAAGATTATATTTCTAATGTAGAATATGATAATGTAAAAAGCGGATTTGCAAATAAACTAGGTAATAAAGGCAGTGTAGTGGTCCGTTTTAATGTTTTTGATACTTCAGTCTGTATTTTAAACTGCCATTTACCTTCTGGCTAATAAAAAATAAATTAAAGATTAGAATCTCTAGTATAAATTCATTAATAGGCATTTTAATAGGAAGGAGGGACTAATTATAAACGAGAACCGATTTCTAAAAGCGATAAAATAATACTAATTGGAGATTTAAATTTTCGGGTACAGAAAGGATACGAAGAGGCAATGCTGGAAGTAGAAAGACTGAAAAATATTTAAAATAATAATGATTAAGAATATAATAAATTACTATAGGAATTTCTATAATATGATTAATTGCATATATTTAAAAATTAAATAGCTTTTAATGCCAATAATATATCAGAATTAATGAAATATTAAGTAATTTAGAAATATAAGGAGCCTCCAATAAATTTCTTACCGTCTTATAAATTCGATAAGGTTTCAAATGAATACGATAGATCGAAAAAATAAAGAGTCCCTAGTTGGTGTGATAGAATTCTATATTAAGATAATGAAAATGAGAATAATAATATAGCTTAAGATTTTAAGTTCTATGAAAGTATAATGAGTCTTAAAAATTCAGATCATAAACCAGTTGTTGGTCTTTTATAAATTTAAGTAAAAGAAATTAATGAAGATAAAAAAGAATAGATTTTACACGAAATTTTAGAACAATAAGAAAATTAAACTGAGTATGTTTTTGAAAATTTCTACCATTAAAATGAAGAATAAAATGGAAAAAATAGTATATAGTAAATACATTAATAATAGATTTAATAATAATAATAAATTTAAAATAATTAGCAATAAAAAATTTAGTAAATAAAAAATTAATAATAATAAAATTAATAAATACAATTTTAATAGTAAAATATTAAATAATAATAAAATATTTAATAAAAAAAGAATTAATATCAAAAATATTAGTAATAGTAATAATAATAATAATAATAATAATAATAATAATAATAATATTAATATTAATAATAAGATTGTAATTTATTTGATTAATTTTATAGTTTAGATAAAAATTTTTAATATAATAATTCTAATAACTAAATTTAATATAATTAATAAAACGAATAATGTGATTTATTAGAATTTAGTTCTAATATAATATATGATAATTAATAATAACTTTCTTAATAATAATAGAATAATATTTAGTAATATTAATAAAATGATGATTTACTAGATTTATGAAAAAAGAAAATTAGTTAAATAATATTTATATTTATAATTTTTCTTATAAGATAGAAAAAAAAACATATAATATATATTTATATAAAAAAATATATATTTATTTAATTAACTTCAATAAAATTTATAATATAAGTATTCTACATTTTTTCTTAATAATATTTAAAATTATTTTATTTCAAGATATGCATAAAAACAAATATTTTACTTATTTAAATAATATTTAATAAAAATTAATTATTCAATATATTAAGACATTAATAAAAATTTTAATTTAGTACGTTTTACTATTTTATATATATATATATATTTGAAGATTTATTGTATATATATTAGTTTATATATAATTTCATATTTAATTTTATATTATTTAGTTTTAAATTAGCAAATTTATTTATTTTGATTTATTTTAAATATTTTTAAAACGAATGACTAAATATTTTTTTTTTTATATTTTACGATTTTAAAATTTAACTTTTTATTCCAGAAGGAATGTATTAGTTCAAAAAATTGCTCTTATTATGATTTCTGAAAGCAGTTTAGATTTCACAACATATAATGTTCTATTTCTAATAATTTTTATTAGAAAAATTTATATTAATATTAAAAAAAATTTTACAAAATATTTATATTTATTATTAATAATTAAATTAAATTTAAGTATTTCATTTTTATATATATACTATATCAACATATTTTAATTTTAAATTTATTAATTAATTTTAATTAGAAAATTTATAAAAAACATTCATAGAATATATTTTGTATTTTATTTTTTTCACTTTTTTAATTTAAAAATGATTTTTATAAAAATAATAATATATGCAATTGAGATAATAAATTTAATGCTTTATCAGTTTGTATTTAAGAAAAATATAAAAAATAAATAAAAATGTGTAAAAATGTAGTATAAATTTTAAAATTAATATTTATCAAAATTATTTAATGAATAAATATTAAAAATTAATTAAAAAATCCGAATAAAAAATATCAAAAAGTATTAAATAAATTTTATTATATAATTTTTATAAAAATTAAAGAATTAAAGATATAGAATAAAACAATATATTATATATATAAATAATTTAAATCAAATATGATAAAAAAATAAATATATAAATAAAGTTTAAAATAATAAAATAATTATTAGAATTAATATATTTATTGTTTATAATAAGAAGAAAAATAAGTATATTAAAAAATAAAAAAAATATATATTTTATTTATTATAATTAGTTTAAAAAAAATCTAATTTATAAATATTAAAAAATATTTTTTTTAAAAAAATATTTAAAATAAATATAATTTATATATTCTTATATTATATAGTTTTTTTTTATTCAATATTTTATATATTTAATTTTTTTTATATATGAAAAAATTTAATTTAAATAAAAATTTTAATATTATAATGTTTTTAAAAATTTAATCTTTTTTATAATTAAATAACAAACTATTTATATATTAAACTAAATAATCATACTTTTCCCTAATTATTGTTTTAAGTTGTTTAATCTCTTGGGTTACATGGTCCATCTGTGAACGAAATTACATAATCTTTATCACAAGCATCACATTTATTCTTGAATGTTTCTCCACATGGGGTTGTAATACATACTCTCATTTTAGGATTATATAAACCACAAACCGGTTAATCATTTTCTGTACACATTAAAACCTACTAAGCAGGTCTAGCATTAAGCTCTCCTGTTGCAACAGTAGCATCAGCTTTTGTTGTTACATCAGACTTTACAAATTTAATAGGGCATTTTTATTCTTATGGCACTTAAAGTTAATCAAATATATCATCAGGTCCAATTTCTGGTTCTCCTGGACAACTTCCTTTTGTATAATATTCTACACTTTTATCTGCACAAGCTTCACATCCATTAGAATAACTAGATGCACATGGATATCTTAAACATTTAATTTTTTTTTTATCTGCCCATCCACAAACTGGATTATAATCAGCTGTGCAAATTTTAGATATTTAATCATTATCACATCTAATTATATCATCTAAAAAATTAAATTTCGAACATTTTCCTAATTTATATTTATAAACACCCAAAGCAGAGCATGCTTAGCATCTATTTCCATAAGTAATAGCAGTTTTAATCTAAAATGAATAACCACAAACAGGTTAATATTCCTTAGTACAAATTTAATTTCCCTATAAATCAGGATCACATAAATAGAAATTCTTATAATCTTTGCATTTTCCTTCTGCATAAAATAATGTAGGAATAAGATTTGAAGTCTTACAGGCTTAACATTCGTTCATGTAAAACTTTTTTTATTAAACATTGAATGAGTTGAATGTGACAGCACATACAGGATCGTATTTATAATAACTAAATAAAGAACCGCAGTAGGCAGGGCAGTTGTAGGTTTGGGTAGATGATAGAGTTATTAAAGTTATTACAATTAATGTTTAATAAATATATTTCATGTTTTTTTTTTATTATATTATTTTTTTATTATTAATTTATTTATTATTATTATTATTTTATTAATATATGTGTATATGTATTTAATTTTCAGTTTTTTTATATTTTCTATTTTTAATAGAGTTTTTTCAGTCATATAAAGTAATTATGATATTTTATAATTTTATTTTATTATTAATTAAATAATTTTCTATAAGTTTTTTTAGTTTTATATAAAAGAAAATAATAATAATTATTAATAAAAATAAATTAGTATAAAACATAATTTTTATAATAAAATATAAATAAATATATTTATATACTATTATACTAATATAATATATTTATTTATAGAAATTAATTAAAGTATTTTTTGATATTTTTACTAAAAAAATAAAAATTTCAAATAATATTAAATTTTTATTATAAATTTACTTTTTATATTATTTTTTAGATAAATATTTTTTTTTTACTAAATATTTATCAAAAATATTCTTTATATTTTAAATAATTTACTTAAATTAATAGATACTATTATTAATTAATTATTATATAATATTATTATATTTATAAAAAAATAGAAATACACTAAAATTTATTGTAAAAATATTATTATTATCAAAATTATTTATAAAATATATCATACATATAATTTTCGATATATTAGAATAAAATATATAAATTAATTTGAAGATAATTTATATATTTGAATTTATTTAATTAATTATAATAATATTTTTTTAATAATAGATAAATAAAAATTATAAATTGTTTCATATTACTTATTAAAAATAATAATAATAATATATATAAAATATAATTTTATAATAATTTATAAAAATCAATCAATCAATTTACCCATTTAATATATCAACAAAAATAAAAAATATAAAATATTTATATATCATATATTAATTTAAATTATAATTATATTTTTTTTATTATAAATATTCTATTTAATCTATTGTAAAATTTCATTAATAAAAATTTAATTTAATTACATAAATAATATATATTATAATTTTATTTTAATTATTTTAGTATTTTTTAATAAAACACAAAAAAGTTTTGAATACAAGTATTTTTATAAAAAATTATTAATTAAAACTTTTAATTTTATTAATTATATATTTTTTTTAGAAATTATAAAATTGTTTTATTCTTTTAATATAAAAAAGCAAAATTAATCTTATATAAAAAATATTTATTTACAAAAAAAATATTAATATGACATAAATATACGTATTTTTTAAAATCAACCTGTTTTTAACTAATATTAATATAATAATATAAAAACCTTAAATAAATATAAATATCCATCATAAAATTAATATTAGCAAATAGTAGGGCAAATATCGAAGGAGATTGATAAAGTTAACCAGCAGAACCAGCCTCACAGAAAATATTAGAATTCTAAACATATTGAAATATTTTTAATTCATATTAAAATTTCGTATTAAGTTTATATTATGAATTTTAACGTCTATAATATATTATCGTTGTATAATAAATGAAAAAAACATACATGCTTTAGTTCAAAATATTAATCTAGATTGTATTTTAAGTTAAAACAATTTTAAATATAACATTTTTCATAATAAATAAAAACTAATTAAAATTAATAAAATTAATTTCTTCATTTTTTTAAAATCCTATATTTTTATTTATATATTATTAGAGCATATTATAAATTTGTAAATTCTTTTTCTTAAATTTATATTATAAAATAAAAAATATATTTTTTTTTAAGTTAAAAAAACTCCTGATATTTAATACCACATACAATCTTATAAATATCAATAAAATAATCCTATATTTCTTCTGGACATTAATAAAATACAAATATTATTAGAATTTTGAGAAAATCTTTGTATCTAACTAATTAATCCACAAATAAGAAACAATTTTCAAATACAATCAAATATTAATTAAAACTAAGGATAAAAAAAATATGAAATCATTATATTATGAAATTTAAAATATATATAAAAAAAGTCGGAAATTTAAATTTAAAAAGTAAAATTATATAAAATAATTATTTGTAAGTATAAGTATTAATGAAAATATTTAAATTTTTATAAATCTGTTTTAATGCATATTTTAATGATTTTTTTTTTAGTTAGTTGAGGTTAAAAAATTTTTTAATGAATAAACAGAAAATAATAATAGAATAAAAATTAAGAAAAATAATAATATTTTTTATAAAAATACTATAATATTATAATAATAAAAAAAATATTTTTATAATATTAAAAAAAAAATACTAAATTAATATTAAAAAAAATATTAAATATAATATTAATTCTAAATGTATAGCATATATAAATAATTTTATTAATTATAATTTTTTTTAATTAAATATAATAATAATATTTTAAATATAAATATTGTTTTATATATATATATTTCATAATTTTAGTTTTTTTGTATAAATAAATATTATAAAAAAGTATTTAAAAATTATAAATATTTTTTAAAATTTATTAAAATTAATTTAAAGTATATATTATATGAATATAATAATATTTATTTAATATATATAATTAGTATTTTACATAACATTTTTTTTTATTAAATTATAGCTTTATATCTAGAATAATTTTATAAAATAAACATAAAAATCATATATTTTAATCTATATAATAACTTGGATAAAAAATATATGATAACGTTACAAAATTATATAAAATAAATTAAAAAATATTTTACATAAATAAAACTTAATAATAATATATAAAATTTATAATAAATTCGAAATATTATAATAGGGAAATTATATAATAATTAAGATATATTTATATAAATAATAAAAAAACATATTAAAATTTATAAATATAACTTTAAAAAAAATATTTTAATTCCATAACTTTACCAATATAAAAATTATAACTTATCTTTTTTTATTTTGGACATTTCTCTTTTTTAATTAATTACATCCTCCATTTATATATCTATCCACTTATTATTATTAGCAGGCAAAGCACTCATTATGTATTAAGAATAACAATCATATTTTAAACATTAAATATTAATATCAGAATAGATCATCTATCTTTATTAAAGATATTCGAATAAAAAAATGAGATTATTTTTTTGAATAAAAAAATGAGATTATTTTTTTGAATAAAAAAATGAGATTATTTTTTTGAATAAAAAAATGAGATTATTTTTTTATATTATAAGCAAAAAATAAAACTTTATTTTATATTCAAGCATAACATTTATTGAAATTATCTTTTTTATTTTAAATATTAAAAATATATTCTAATGCTTTATAAATAAATAAAAGTATTCAAAATTCTCTTAAAATAAAAGTCCTTCAATATATATGTTTATAATTTAACTATATTCTATATAATAATAATGATATGTTTTTGAAATTTTTAATCTTATTTATTTATAAAAAAATTAATAAATAATAAACTTAAGAAATTTGTAGTTTGTTAATATTTAAAAAATATAAATTATTTGTATTAATATTTTTAACTATAATATTAATTTTAATTTATTATAATAATATATTATATATATTCAAAAATATTATTAATTTTATAAAGAGCTAATAATATAAAAAAAAATTAATTTTTAATCAATTTTTTTTTTATATAAATATATATTTAAATAATTAAAAAAAAAATGCATATATATAAAATAATATAAAATTTTTTATCAATATTTTATAATATTATAAAAAATTATTATATTTAAAATATTATTTTTATATATAATAATTTTACATAAAGTGGGTATATATTCATTCTTATCTTAATATTTAGATAAGTTTAGATAGTTATATATAAATTTTTTAATATATAAAATAAATATACTTTGCATTTATTTTATTTAGAATAAAATAAAAAACTTTGTAAAAAAGCATTTTCATTATATAAATTTTAAGACTAATAATTTATAAATGTAAAAGCTATAAAATTGTTTCAAATTTTTTTTAATTTGTATATATTTGAAGATTAAAAAATAATTAAAACTATATATACAAATACTGTTAAAAAAAGTTTCATGAAAATATAAACTTTTTAGATATATTATAATTAAAAATAATATAATTATTAGAAAAAATAATAATTTATATAAGTTTAATAATAATTATCTAAAATATATAAAAAACATAAATAATTGAAAAAAATATATTATACTATTTTTTGAATTATATAAAAATAAAATATAAAAATAATAATATTTTTATATTTAATTATAATACTTATATTATATATATATATAAATATATTTTATATTTAATATAAATATATATATCATTTTTTTTTATTAAAATATATTATATTTTTAAAAATAATTTTTTTTTATAATATTTTTAAATAAAATTAAATATTTATTTTCATATTTTTTTATTTTTTTAATTTTTTTATATTCATATTAAATATATATTATAATTTATTTATTTTTATTCAGATTTCGATTTATGTTTTTAATCATGAGTTTCAATCAGAAACACGGGTATTTTTCATCAATATTTTTTAATTTTTTATATAAATATTATTTAATTTAATTGTATATATATTTATTTTTTAATATTTATCAGTATTGTGTAAGTAATCACGTATTCATAAACACGGACACAAATTAATCATCAAAAAAATTTATATTTTTTTATATTGCTCATTAGTTATTTTTTATGAAAATATTAAAAAATATTAGAAAAAAATTAATATTTTTTCTTTATTTATTATTAATATATTTTTAATATTTATTATATATTTTTGTAAAATAAGACACAATTTAATTGAATTTTATATTTATTTTTATACTTTAATTAATTTAGTTTTAATAATAAAATAAATTATATATTTTTTTTAATTGATATAAATAATTTGATAATAATAAAGAGTATAAATATAAATAAAATTAAATATATATATAAATATATATATATATATAAATATATATAAAGATTTAAAAATTACATTTAATGATATTTCAATTATTATAAAAGTTAAATATAAAAAAAAAATATATAACATTCAATATTTTACAATATGAAATTATAAAAATATCAAA